TTTTCTTTTTTTGTTCTTTCACAAAATTCATGTTCTTAGTAATTTTATTATTAAAACATTTAGGACTTTTATTTATCAACGAGGTGAAATTAAAAATTCAAAGAAATTTCAAATTAGTTTTTAAAAATCACAATATATATATATATATATATATATATATATATATCCACCTACACAAGGTGGTCCCAATCCGCTTATTTCCACCTACACAAGTTCGTCCCATCCATTTATTTCCACCTACACAAGTTGGTCCCCATCCATTTATTTCCACTGGCACAAGTTGATGATATAATTCAAAACACTGAATTTTTTTTTTTTTTTTGATAATGGCACATACTTGTCTCTGGAGATAAGAGGCTGATACCGCTAAGTCACTGACCCATTAATTATGTGATTGGCCTTAGCATTTGATTAGAGGTTTGATTTCAAACCTATCATCATGTCGCCTTGATAGTGTTGTGCATGTTTGGTAATTCAGTAGGGTGCTCAAGATGAAAAACAGTTGTTCTATGGGTGTTCTGCCGACACTCGCCGAGTACTCAGCAATTCCAATCTCTTAGTCCTAAGCAATGTTAAGCTATAGTGGCCCACTGTTTGTTTTTTGTGGTTCACGTGCTACTTCAATCTGCTTGTATAATTTTTTTATTGAAAAAAAACAAACAATATTTACATCATTATTATTCTCTTTGGAGAACTCGAACTCTAGTCAATCATTTTAGGAGGTAGAGGAATATTTTCTCACAACCACCTATTTAGACAAATTTAATGCTTATCAAGAAATTAAAACCATGAAATTAGTCCCACTACTCTAAAACAATTGTCCAAACAATGTCTTGTCAAGATTGTCCAAAATTTATGTTAATTGAGTTATAGAAGGGCTCATTTTGTAATTACCACTACTACACTTCATCATTTAATTAAATACATGTCACCCCGGCGGCGGCGACCTTTTCCTATATATAGGATCTTTATATTGCATCTCTATACTATCTCTCTTAGTTCAAACACATCCTCGCTTTTTCTTTCACAAAGCTGTCTTTTATCATTGTTTGGCTCCCCACTGTCTTTCACACTCGGTGCCCTTTCCGCTTTTTATTCCAAACAAAGTTTTTCCACACAATTGACAAATTTTCTGAAATTTTACTTACTAAAATTCATACTAAGATTGGGGACTCTTGTAATCGATCTACTATTGTTCATCCTCTTGCTTTTTATTTCACAAAGCTGTCTTTTGTCATAGCTGTCTTTCAGAGTCGGTGCCCTTTCCACTTCTCATTCCAAACATAGTTTTCCCACACAATTGGGAAATTATCTGAAATTCCTTCTCAATCGATCTTTTGTTCTCTTGATAGAAATCAAGAAGATCAAAGAGAATGGCTGAGATTGCAGTAGAATTTCTACTCAATCACTTGACCAACTTCATTCAACAAGAGTCAAGCCTCTTGGGAGGAATAAGGGAAGAAGCTGAGTCCCTCAGATATGAATTGGAGCACATGAAGGATTTCCTCAAAGAAGCTGATGCAAATGAATTCAATAACTCAGAGCTCCAAGTATGGGTTAAACAAGTACGTGATGTTGCCCATGACATGGAAGATGTTCTTGATGAATTCATGCTCCACATCGCACACTATCATGGGGATGGATTCTATGGTTTTCTTTGTAATATTTGCTCTTTGATTAAGAAATTGATAGCTCGCCATCAAATTGCATCTGAGATAGGCAAAATAAAATCCAGAGTCAACAATATACATCAAAGCTACCGACAAAGACTCAGCATCTCTGAGCATGGATCAAGCTCCACCGTTGACAACAACCCAAGGTATGATCGTCGAGGTGATGCACTTCTAGTGGAAGAGGCTGAGCTTGTTGGCATGGATGGGCCCAAGAAACAGCTGATTGGGTGGCTTCTGGAGGACAGTCCAAGACTCAAAGTTGTTTCGGTGGTAGGGATGGGGGGTATGGGAAAAACCAACCTAGTAAAGAAAGTCTATGATGATATGGAGGTGAAGAATCGTTTCCAATGTCATGCTTGGATCACTGTTTCTCAATCATTTGATCTCAGAGAGCTTCTCAAAGATGTAATGCGAAGACTCTTCGATGAAGCCAAGCAACCTGCCCCTCAAAGATTGGAAACCATGGGCATCAATAACTTGAAAGCGGAAATCAAAGATTTCCTTCGATAGAGAAGGTACGTGCTTGTTTTAGATAATGTATGGCAAATAGATACATGGAATGCTTTTAAATATGCATTCCCTGACAACGATAGTGGCAGCCGAATACTGCTTACGACCCGCATTGTTGATGTAGCTTCTACTAATCACATCTATACTATGGAACCATTGTCCTAGGAAGAGTCTTTGACTCTGTTCTGTAGGAAGACATTCCGAGGCAACCACTGCCCTCAATATTTAGAGAAACTCTCACAAAGTATCTTTGAAAAGTGTGAGGGCTTGCCATTTGCAATTGTGGCAATTAGTGGTGTTTTGGCTACGAAAGACAGAAATACATCCCATGAATGGGAATTGTTTCACCGTAGCCTCGGCGCTCAGTTAGAAGGCCACGGCAAACTTGAGAGTGAAAAAGATACTCTCTCTCAGTTATTATGATTTGCCTTACTATCTAAAAATATGTTTCTTGTACTTGGGTTTATTCCCTGAGGATTACGTGATTGAGCGTATGAGACTGATTCGACTTTGGATCGCAAAAGGATTTGATAAGGATAAAAATAATAGGCAGCTCAAAGTCAAAAGAGAAATAAGATAAGGGTAAGGGATTTATCTTACCCAAAATCTCCATGGAATAATAATACTACATGTAACCAGAGTTACCATTCCTGTAAGAAGGGAACGATATCATCTTGGATCAGGGAGAATCTCGCTTGAAAAACTACTACCATTAATGCTTCTATAAAAGAAAGGATCAGTCAACCTAAAAAGGTACGCCATAAATTTCATATTGAATCCTTATCGGATATTTAATCGTCGAGTACTAACTTGACCGTCGGAGTGCACCCGGCCGGCACCACGCCGGTCATCACTTCTCTTGTCTTGCAGGAATTGTCACAGACTCCGGAACGTGTAGATTTTTGGCATCAACAGTTGGCGCTGTCTGTGTGAACGTATATTAGTCCCAACAAATTATGGTTCGTATAAGGGAAATCTACGACAAAACTTAAAAGCAATTCAGTCCCTTTACAATCTGGCTTTCTCTAAAAGAAAGAGAACAGTTCATGGATTGCATGGCCAAAAGTAAGGGTACAATTGCTCAATCCGGTAAAATTGCTAGAAAGTCCCACCCGACCGCTAACAGTTGTTTCATCATCGCTGTTAACCGGGTAAGTTTCATGCATTACGCGTATATCAAAATATATGTGTACACTTCCTCACATGATTTAAAGAGAAACAATTTTTTATGTGTTTCCAATTGTCTGCAAAATATTGTTCATCTACATAATGATGTAGTTCACCTGGGGACCCTCCGATAAAATACTACGCTTTGAGGTATTGTTCACAAAAAAAAAAAAAAAAAAAAAAAGTGTGGGTACTGTTCACAGGGTGTAGAAAAAAAAAATTATTTTGTGAGTACTATTCACATGAATAGTACCCGCGGGTACTGTTCACAGGGTGTAGGAAAAAAATTATTTTGTAAGTACTATTCACATTAATAGTACCTGCGGGTACTGTTCGCAGGGTTTAAAAAAAAAAAAAAAGTTTCTTATTCTAGAGAACAATCATTAGCTCCATTGATGATTTTGGTCCTATGATGCTCAATGATAAGTTTTTGTCTTAATTGTACCTATTCTGATATATATAAATATGTATATATATTATCCGTTCAAACTGGACATCTGTTCTTTTATTTTTGCTTTGCTAACTTTGCAAATAGAAAGAGAACATTAGTGTTCCTTGTACGCGAGAGGCAAGCTTGGGAATGGGGGCAGAAAGTTAACCTCTCTTATTAAAGATACGAGTTCACGAAACTCTGGAAAATCAGTTACTCACAAGGATGAACCTCCCATATTAAAAGGATAAGTTCATGAAGCTCGTAATTGCCATTCCCCGTATTATAAGGGATTCATATAAAAGCGCCCCGTACTATAAGGGCTTGAATTGAATGAAGCTCGTAATTGTTGTTCTCCGTATTAAAAGGGGTCGAAATCAACTTGTAAAATATACTTCCCTTTTTAAAGGGCGAGCTGAGTGAAGCTCGTAAAATATATTTTCCTTTTTAAAGGGCGAGTTGAATGAAACTCGTAATTACCATCCCCGTATTATAAGGGATTGATATAAAAGTGCCCCGTACTATAAGGGCCCGAGCTGAATAAAGCTCGTAATTGTTGTCCTCCGTATTAAAAGGGGTTGAAATCAACTTGTAAAATATACTTCCCTTTTTAAAGGGCGAGCTGAGTGAAACTCGTAAAATATATTTTCCTTTTTAAAGGATGAGCTGAGTAAAGCTAGTAAATATACTTCTTTTTTTTAAAAGGTAAGCTCATTCAGCTTAAAGAAAGCCTACTCCCTCAACTCATGAAGTTCAGACAAATCTTAAGAGATCAACCAAAAAAGGTCGCCTAACAAGGGTTAACTTAAAAAAGAGATTGATTTATGCCAAAGAGACATCACTCAAAAAAACACTTTTGACATTCTCGATACTTGACAAGCAAGCACGAGAATGGGGGGCAACTGATAAGGATAAAAATAATAGGCAGCTCAAAGTCAAAAGAGAAATAAGATAAGGGTAAGGGATTTATCTTACCCAAAATCTCCATGGAATAATAATACCACATGTAACCAGAGTTACCATTCCTGTAAGAAGGGAACGATATCATCTTGGATCAGGGAGAATCTCGCTTGAAAAACTACTACCATTAATGCTTCTATAAAAGAAAGGATCAGTCAACCTAAAAAGGTACGCCATAAATTTCATATTGAATCCTTATCGGATATTTAATCGTCGAGTACTAACTTGACCGTCGGAGTACACCCGGCCGGCACCACGCCGGTCATCACTTCTCTTGTCTTGCAGGAATTGTCACAGACTCCGGAACGTGTAGATTTTTGGCATCAACAGGATTTGTGAAAGATATTTCGGGAATGACAATGGAAGAAGTTGCTGAAGGCTATCTCAACGAGCTTATTAATAGAAGCTTGGTCCAATCAATATACCTTGGGGAACTTGCAGCATACAAATCGTTTTCCTCAACTCCGTTCATTACTCATGTTTGGGTGGAAAAACCTATATCCAAGTCGTTGAATCCTATATTATTCATTGGTGGGGTTACGTTGTTAAAGGTTTTGGATCTGAGGGGTGCTTCTTTGGAGATACTTCTAGATGAAGTTGGCAAACTATTTCATCTCAGGTATTTAAGCTTGAGGAAAACAAGGGTTATAACACTTCCGAAATCCATAGGTAAACTTGAAAACCTTGAAACTTTGGATCTCAAAAACATCTATGTAACTGAGTTGCCTGTTCAGACCTTAAAGCTCCAGCGTCTTCGTCATCTCTTGGTGTACCGTGACTTTAAAGCAATAGTGGGAATAGAAGGTTTGTCTTCCTTACAAAAACTGTGTTATATTGAAGCCAACCGTGAGAATGGTAGAATTGTAATGGGAGAGCTAGGGAGACTGACCCAGCTGAGGAGATTGGGGATTAGGGAGTTGAGAAGGGAGGATGGGAAGGATTTGTGCTCCTCTTTTGAAAAGCTGAGTAACCTTCAATCATTGAACGTTTTTTCTGTAAAAGAGGAGCAGATTGTTGATTTTTTAACACTTGTCCTCTCCTCCTGGGTCTCTTCAACGGCTCTATTTGTGGGGACGTTTAGAAAATTTGCCGCATTGGATAACTTCTCTTCATAACCTGGTGAGATTGCGGCTTGCGTACAGCAAGTTAAGGGATGATCCATTGCAATCCCTTCAAGAAATTGCGTATAGCAACTTCTCTATTTCTGATAGAAATTTTACTTTTTGAGGCTTACCAAGGGGAGGAATTGTTTATCGAAGCGACAGGGTTTCAGAAGCTTAAGATATTAAAGCTTTACCACTTAGAAGGATTGAGGAGGGTGAGAATGGAGAAGGGATCATTGCCTCATCTTGAAAAGCTGATTATTAGGAACTGTAAGTTGGTGGAAGAGGTACCCACACCCACTGGCATTCAACAAATATTTATCAGATAAATTGAAAATGACACTGGATCGAGACAAACAGGGTGGGGATTATTGGAAAATAGCACACATCCTCAACATTCATATATCTTGAACTTTCCTGGATAGTCGTTGGGAAGGAGATTCTGTAGAGAGAGAGATGGAGAAGAGTCCTTGCAAAGTTGAGATCATTAGTATTGATCAGGTCACCTAATATTTGCTTTTATTTTATTTTTATAGGATAACTGATTTGTTTTTTCTTTGTTTTTCTTTTTTCTTTTTTTAATATATTATGTTATTTTATTTTTATAGGATAACTGATTCGGAGTATTCCTGGAAGGCAGTTGGGAAGGAAATTATATAGAGAGAGAAATGGAGAAGAGTCCTTGCAAACTTCTTGTTGAGATCATCACTATCTAATGTTTTTATTTTATTTTTATGATTAAGTTGTTGTATATTGTGTTACATTATACAATTTATTATGTTTGGAGGAGAGTAGTACAAGCAACAACATTTCATTTATTGTGTTTTTGGAAAATGCAAAGTTGTTGTTGAGATCATCACCTACTGTTCTGAGTTTATATTTATTCATTGTTAATTTTTATGTAATGCATTTCATTTTATAGAGACAATGTATAAAAAAAGTCAAATTCAAGAACTTGGACTCCAACAATACTAATAAGGTTGTCCAATTGTGTAATCTGGATAAATAAAATGTTGAACAATTTAATAGAAGGTTGCAGTTTTTGTCTTTGATGTTTGCTATTTAAGGTAAGGTAGTGTTTCGAGGAGCCCTTCAAGGAGGCACTTTGTTACCGAACAAGCAACGTTGGAGTAAAACGAAAAAAAAAAAAACACGTTCGAACATTGGAGTACATGGAGCGATTGAATAGTCAAGTTTAAAAACTACTGAAAATTAATTCAAAATTCAAACAATCCAATTCGGGTGGAGTTCACAAGACCCTTAAGATATTATGAAAAGTTTGAGACAAATTCTACAATTTTTGCCAATTTATGAGATTACAACTGTTTTTAAACTCGAAATTAAGTCATTTAAACCCATGATTGATGATATGACAACTTTTTAACGAATGATATGACAACTTAACTTTGTGTATTTTGAATCGATTTTGTCAAGTGAATACATGGTAGGTTTGAGAGAAAAAATAATTTATGATAAAATTTGAACCCTAACATAACACTTTGATAAATGTTTTAAGGGGTTAACTCATTTTCTTCAATAAAAACCTAAATTTCTCAATCAATTTTTATGTGTGAGTAATTAAATAAATACATAATCCACTTAAAGTTTTTTAAAACTATATTTTGAGTCCTCTTTCTTTTGAATAAGAATCCTAATTTCCTCAACAATCTACATGTGTGAATAATTTGATAAATTGATCAATAATCTTCATGTTTATTATAATTATAATGTCGAGAGTGTATAAGAGTGTGTATATATATGTGTGTGTGTATGCATAAGAGTGTGTATATATATGTGTGTGTGCGCATAAGAGTAGAGAAAAGAAAATTAAAGAGAGAAACTTAATTTAATGTTCGTTCTCACTTGTTGTAATACTCCTAATTTTAAAAGGATAGTTCTGGAATTTAATTTACTTATTTATGTGCATTTTTAATAAATTAATTGTTTAATTGCTTGTATTACTGGATTTTATTGATTATATGCTTGTTTGTCTTTTTATTTGAATTAATTGTTGATTTATGTATTTAATTGTGTTTTTATTGTAATTAATTGTTTTCTTTTATTATTATTGTTTTTAGTTGAATTATTTTTAATTGGGTTAAGTTAAATGCTTTATGTATATGATTAGATTTTTCTTTTATTATATTTTTTAGAAGTCACGTATGTGTAGCCGATGTAGGTTATAACTTAGGTTGTTCATGGGCCGACTAAGATTGGTATTAGGGGCTCTGGCTCTAATTATACAAGGATTAGGGTTGTAGTGTTAAGCCTATAAATATAAATCTCACGTTGGGTTTAGGGTTTTGGGAATATACACAAAACTCTTCTCACGTACCTAAGAGATAGAGAGGAAACACAGTGAACAACAGAGAGAGAATTTGGGAGAAACAGAGAGTGAACCTTGAGAGGTTTACAGATCGAGAGGTTTAAGGAGGAAGGAGTGGAGTGCTTCTGGGTTGAACCAAGAGCACCGGAGGTGTTGAACGGCAGCCTACGATTATGACGGAAAACTTAGAGACGGAGGTTTAAGATTTCTGGACTGAAATCTAAAGCAAGTCTCTGTTCTACTCTTTCCCTTTAATCTGTGTTCTGTGTATGCCTAGCTAGACTCCAGGGGTTTAACTAATGATAAAACGAAATAGTCATGCATGCTTAATTGGATTAAAATAGAGAGTTTCATGATTTTATATGCTTCTTCAAAATTTCTTTATTTCTGTGATCTTTATGCATGAACTGTTGTTTAAATTGAATCTTTGCCTACTAAAACACTTAAAATAATTTAGTATGGACGTATGGGGCTTAGGTTAAAGCTTAGGGGCCTTAACAATGAAGTTTTAGGATTTACAGAGGCTGAACGGACGAAGAAGAAGACCCCAGCCGACTCAGTTGGAAACTGAACCGATTGAGTTATCAACTCAGCCGACTGAGTTAGCAACTCAGCCGACTAAGTTCCTAACTTAGCCTGCTCAGTTGTAACTTAGCTTGCTCAGTTGGGATTTTTGGTTTTAAACGCCCAGTTTGGTTTTTTGTGCACTGTTTGGACTATACAGAGTGTTAGCACTTCATTTAAATTGTTTTAAATGATGTATATGATTGTTTTAGACCTGTAAGAATATAGGTAAACAATGATTCATAAATGGATTAAGGTATGGACAGTGTACAGTTAGGAGAAGATCCTACATGTTGAACTTTGAATGTTAATCAGCTTACAATTTGGAACTTGGAGGATTATTTATATATGATTTAATTTTAATTAATCATATTTAGATAGGATTATAAGTAACATGGATTACTTGAATTTAACCATGCTTGTGTTGGATATTAATTTTCACTTTGTTATTCAACTGCATCAGTTTATGGATATTTTGGAGGATGTGAACGCTTATACTTGTTTTAGCTATTTACATTATTGGAATTGGATTTTTAGGCTCTATAATGACTGCCTAGTATTGATATACATGTGTTAATTTATATTGATGCATGTTTTGAAGGATGGTTGTTGGATATATAGTGTCGTTTTATTAACTATGCTATATGAATGATTGTATGCACCGATATGGGACGGTGACATATTAGGTATGGACTAGTTCAAACACTATGTTCTACCTAACTTGGATTGAGTTATGGACTAACCATAAAGGTTAAGTACATCTCATATTTGAGTTATATCAATTGAGAATTGAATGACCTACCTTGGTTTCAGAATAGATTTGTTATACATATATCAGACCACAAAACAGATGGATAATATTTTGTATTAGGAGTACGGAATTTATATATTTATTATATGGTACCATGGTATGAGCATGAGTCTCAGAACCATGGTTAGGGCGCGTATATTGCCTAGGATGGATAACTGGAAATATGTGTTGTTTCCTGGTAGGTTTAGGTACTCATGCTCACATTTGGGTGCGTTTTCCCATGTTGCCTTCTATTTAGGCTGAGACAGACCTATTGGACTAGCGAACGTCCTATAGTGTGTACTATATATACATATATGGACTACTCTAGATATTGTTGAGCTATCGAAGATGTATCTGCGTATCGGATTACTGTTTGGATCGTAGTTGGACAGGACTTGCATGTGGGCCTGACCCACTCTTTATTTTTTAGGTGTTCATCAGTTCCAGGATTAGAGCTTGGATGTGCAGAGCAGATACAGATACTCATTCCTCCGATTACGTAGGACTACTTGCTATGTTTAGCATTAGACTTATTTCAGTTGTTTCAGTTTCAGTTTGAGATTTTAATAAGGGGTCCACTGGATGGATTCCCTAGTTGTACTCTTGGAGTGTTGGAGAGTTGGTTTCTTGTTATTAAGATTTGAGGATTTTATTGTCTAGTATTCTTTCAACTTTTAATTTTTATTTCTTTAATTCAAATTTGTATTCTGTGTTCGTTAACATATTAATTGTCTGATATCCCTCGGGTTTGGGTCTGGGCCTAATCAACCAGTGTCTTGGATCCGAGGGGTATCACAATTGTCCTTCAACGAATAATTCATACAAATGCGTATATACATTACTCATCTTTGAACTTATCTGCTTCCTTAATTTAACTCTTAAATACGTTAATATTTCAATAAGAAAGAAAAAGTGTAATATCTATTAAAATTAAAGACATATCTGTGATGTTTCTGATTTTTCAGCATTTTCATTTTTTCAATAATTCGTAGAGACAAGGGTATTTATGTCTTTTCGCATATTGTGTTCGGGATTGTGGTTGGGTCCATTTGCATTGTGCATTTTAATTTATGTGGGTTAAGTAGTATTTTTCTGTAGTGGTGCACTATATGAGTTGTGTGGTGTAAAAAATGGAAGATTAAAGAAAAAGAGTAAATAAAAAGAAATTTTGGGGCCCACCACTATTTCAAAAGTGGTCTAGAGACCACTATTTTGCTTCACACTTTCTCTCTCCCCGTACATCCCTCTTTTCTCTCAATTTCTCTTCCATTTTTCTTTTCTTATTGAGACAAACTTTGATCCTTGATTTCATCTTCATTACTTGTCGGAATTGGGTGCTGTTTGAGCCAAAACGACGAGCACGACGAGCTCTACGCATCCATACAAGCAATTTCAGTTTTAGTGCCCTCTTTGGAGTTCGAATCTAGGGACCCATTGTTGGGTTTTGATACAAACTTGAGGTAGGGGCATCTTAATTCATGTTTTCTTGCTCTTTTGTGAATTATACCTTCCCTGTGTGATAATGTGTTTAATTTAGGAGTTAATTGTATCTATGATTATATTAGTGATGTCTAGAAAATTTCATGATATTGAATGTGACTTGTATTATGTGAAAAGCATGTCTAGATGCTACCTTGTTGTGTTTAATTTGATGATAATCCATTATGAAATGTTGAACATGATATATGCTTGAGTGATTGTTGTTGTTCTTTAAATGTCTTAATCTTGGAACCATGAAGCATATATATATACAAATGCATCATTGGGTTGCATGAAGTGGGAGGAATTGGTTTTGAAATGAAAAGGGGATTCTTGGGATATGAATGTTTTGGAAATGGTTTTATGCAAACCCGGTCGCTACGGGGTTACCAATGGGCCAAAGGTTAATATAGCCTAGGGGGGATTAGGAAGTCGCCCTAGCGTGGTTGAGCTAGCTGGGCCCCATAATGACACCGCGGGGTTACCAAGGGTCAGGGACACTAGCCAATCCTCCTCTCGTGTCGCGGCGGGGTTACCAAAGGGCGGGTTGTTTTAACATTTGGAAAGTGATGGTTTTGAGAATGAAAATGGGGAGTGGCATTAGCGTGCATTCGCATTCCACAGCATAATGATCTTTGTATTCTAATTTGGTTGGAATTATGTATTAATTCCCTATGTTGCATGCTCCCTATTTCCCATTGGCCTATACTTTGATTGGATTCATGGGGACACAAGACGCATGTCTTAAATGTCACCTACTGAGCATATAGCGCACCCTACTATATATTATATTTTTTTTTCAGGTCTTGGAAAAGAACCGGCGGATGCTAATCCACCTCAAAATTGAAAGT